CTCTCTCTCTCTCTCTATGTCTATCTCCTTGTGTTTGACTAGGCTGTGTGCCTCAAAAGTCACTTTGGATTGCGCTCTGTTCCCCTCTATCTGCGCTCAGATGTATTTTTATATCAGACATCTCGAGCTCTCCCTCCTGCGTGTTTCCTGTCGTATCCGTGTGCGCTGATGGTGACAGCCACCTGTCCGCGGGCTGCTCCTGCGCAAATGGCGTCAACTTCGTCAAGAATTGTCACCTCCGGTAAATTCTGGCTCATCCTCATCAGCTTTATGGGTGATGACTAATGGAAAGAGGATCGTAATCCACGCAGGAATCTCCAACAGAGCGCGACACGACCCCGCCTACCCTTGACTTTGGCAAACTTTTTTTTAAATCATGTAAATGTTTAGTTAAAACCTGCTTCAGGGTTTTGTTTGGCGCATGCTCAATAGTGCACTTGACAGCAGGAGTTTTGGTGCCAGCTTACTCCAGGGTGTTTTTTAGCAGTAGTGAACATGATCTCGCAGTTCCAACCTAAAATATGGGTACAGTGATCCTCTCATCCTTGTCATCTTTTGAGGATTAGTCGAATGCAACTGAGCCACAATAAATCATTTCCTTTAAAAGTGCTCAAATTCAGTTGCAGTGAGGCTGAAAATGGAGTGATATCACATTGCTTCATTTTTCATTGTGAAATCTTAAAGCTCTCTCAGTCTCTTCAAGTATTCTCTTCCTGCACCTCCTCTTCCTCTTCTCTTCCTTTGTCTTCTTTTTCAGCACTCTTGTCCTCTTTTACAAGTAGTGTCAGCCACTTTTACAAAGCACACTCCTCTCTCACTATCCTCTCCTCTTTCACTGTTCTTTTCACCTATATCTCCCATAAACTGTTCGCCATATTTCCCCTGGAGCATGCTCGACTCTCTCCTCCCCTCTAGTTATCCTCTCCTTTAGTTATTACCTTATATTTTCTACCTGTCAAAAGAAACATGTCTGAAGGTTGCTGTAGGAGACATCCACTGCTTTGAAATCAAAATGAATTTATAACATTTTGACATTAAGTGTACAATGAATAAGTTGCGTGAACTAAACATCTAACATGAATTGTTTAACTATTTACGAGCGGTAAGGACAGTTGGACAAAAGGGAAAGTGAAGTAGATCTTCATACCTGAATTAAGTTTTTAGCCACAAATGGTTGTTTAAAAGTATTAAACAATAAATAATGTATCCAAACTTGAAGGCCCATTTATTTCAATAAAATAATAATAATAATTACTGAGCATAGACAAATGGTTCTTGTAGTCTGTAAATCAGGTTCCCACGAATAATAATGTATTTTCTCTGGTCAAGTCATCCGTTGCATACAGTACACGGCACGAGAATAGTTCATGTACATCATAATTTAGATCTTCAAAGCTGTAAATATTATTGATAATTGCCATTGATCCCAACCCATTAGCCCATGAGCATTTTGTTCTATGTGATAACAACCTTGTTCCCCTGTTAAATTGGGGGCTCAGCCTTAGAAACAAATTTTGCCCTTTTGCACCCCTATTTACTTTCTAATTGTTACAGATGGTGCTTTTTCCTAGTTACATTTATTGGCCAGTTTTAAACACCCTGAATTCTTATTTCAGTATTTACAGATATCAGCCTGTATACTGTACATTTTATTAAATTTTATTACACACAGATGATGAATGAAGTTCACAACGTCATGTTAGTATGCACCGCTGAACGCATCTTTAATCACTGTGGCAGCCGTCCAATGTGGTGAATTTTGGTGCATGTGGCCAGTTGTTTAAGCATATTGCATGACATAATTAGCTATAACGAGACAGTCTGAGCTTCACTGTGGTGCTGTCAGCGGGAAGGAAAACATCTTCAGGGCACACAGGCAGCACACCTTACACCGCTGTGATGAGAGATGGAGTATTATTGTGTGTTTACGTGTGTGCAGGTTTGTCTGGGAGTCAGTGTGAAGCCTCATTAGCTTGTATGGAGATGCTTGAAGTTGTTGGTTGGTGTGGTGCACTGATGATCTGTTTCCTGATCTATTAGCTTACTCACGTATGCCACCCCTGTCTTCTTTGAATCATTTTCTTAATGTTCTTCTCTCACTTTTTTGTTTTCTTCTTACTCACCCATTCACTGGTACACTTCCTCTACTTTTCTCCTTTTTTTTACCCTCTACCCATCTGCCATACCCACTCATTCCCTGTTGATTTTCCGTTCTGTCCTCTTTCCTCTCCTCAGCTTTCCATCTCTCTTCTCCCCCTCTGTTTCCTTTCTTCCATTTCTCTGTTCTGTACTCTTGCAGTCCTGCCTGTGAGCATCAGATTCAGTGATGTCCTCAGACCATTACGAGAGTGCCCGCAGCGCTTCTCCAGCTCTCACTATCTATCACTCTCGCTCTCCCTTACGCTTCAGCCTCAGTGTGTAAACCCCCAGCTCCCCCGCCTCTTCCCTCCTTGTCTTTCTGTCTCCCTCTGGCTTCAGTCTGGACACAGTGTTGTACATATATGTAGACTGCCATCAGCTCACATTAAATAAATGTCCTTTTGGCTGAGCCTGCAGGGACTGGAGTTGGTTCTGTGTGTGTATTTGTGAGAGTGTGGGCTTGTGTGTCCCAAATGCCTTTTTCTGTGTGTGCACCTGTTTATTTGAAAGAGACCCCCCCACCACACACAACACATTAACATACTGTATAGCACAGTAGCCCCGAGCCCATGCCATAAATATCATGAACATATAAACAACATCACAAACATGATCATCAAGCATAAGGCTGGACATGTGATTTATGCTAAGGCTTATGCTATCGCATATGTCTCAGCATACTTCCCCACGTTAAATCACAAACAAATGACAATGGGAAACAATGTGAAAGGTGTTGCTCATAGTGATGTACCTACTGAGAATTATCATCTGAAATAGCAGCCCCTCTTGGCTTTACAAAACTTTGAAGTGACTTTCAGCTCATTGTTCAGCTCCTTAAGTTGTTTGATGTATAAATAACCAACCGTTTGCAAAAAGGTTTGCCTTTACCACTGATTTTATGGCATCTAGCAGTAAAGTTAAAGCTAACTTTACTGTTCCTAAGTCCAAAAGAATGAGCTGAAAGATTCTGAAATGCTCTGTAGAGCGGAGATTGATTTTGGGTCATAATACTTTGTTGATTCCTTTTCATAACACCTTTTACATTACTTATAGTCATTTTTTCTTTCTTACATAAAGTGTGACTTTAAATCCAGAAATGAATCTTTATAATCAACCATGCTCTATTTATGTAAGCAAAATATTAATGTGACCTGTGCCATAGATACATTTACTTACACTAGATAATGTAAACTGTACCCTTATCTTAAAACCATTAGCACAGTCAGTGTGCCTCTCACAGCAGTGCAAGAGCTAATCCTTCTTCAGGAACCTCATCTTTTGCCTCTTCTGTATACATTTCTTCACTTCTCTTGTCTGTAAAGTGAGCAAAAAAGAAACATTAACCAACACCTTTCACTCTACTGTCTACACTCATAACAGAAGAAATACACAGTAAAGGTCATGTTCAAATTGGGAAGTGTTTTCTCTGAAAGGCAAGATCACACCTTAAGACCAAGAAGCTGAGGTAAGCCACAGAGCTTGTTTCGCAGCACCTACAATGACCTTTTCACAGGGTTATAGTGCTACTGGCAGTCTTAGTCATGTAGTCACACACACACATAAGTACACACAGCTTGTACACAGTATGTGATGTTATAAGGAATAACACAGGTGATATACAGTCATCTTGTTGCTTTGGTCTCTGGCAGTACAATCAGTAATTGGATTCATGATCAGCTATCTGCCAGAGCTGCTTGCAACCACAGAGCCAGCACCCTACCATATAATTCCCTCATGATGTACAACCTGGAGTTGCTTCATTAAGAATGTAGGTGAGACTGACCTCGTGGAAAACAGTATGATTCAGCCTTTCCATTCAGACAAGCTTCAATTCAAAGCGGTGATAACAAATGTGAAGCAGAAAATTTAGTTTTTCTATATACCAAGAAATACCCCAGAGTACTCCCATGATCACCATTTCAATCTTGTCTTGTCCATTGCTTCTGGAGCTGTACATTAGTGTCAGAGAAAATAAAGTATGCACTTCCCAAGTCAATACTAAACAAAGGAAAAACTGTATACTCTCTGAATGTTGCTCAGCGTGGGCTTTTATTGTGTATTTCAAGCTTGTGTCTCTGTCAAGCAATGCCACGACTTTAAATTATATATAGCTGACATGTGAATGCAGATCAGGCTGGATTCAGACTGTATAGGAATTTTTAATTTAAGTTATATGCTTTTTGTTAAGGTTAAGGTGAAATGAGGTTTTGATAGTGACTCAAATAAGTTTAATGTAGAAAATGCATTATGGTTTACAGCCTTTTTCTCTTTTATACAAATAACGGATGTTTTTTATACAATTGAGTAGCAATAAATTATGAATTTCCCAGCTGCACTAGAACATGTAAGTACATGAAATATGGTTTTGCTGCAAAGAGTTGTATTCAAAATATTTTTGTGTGTTACATATGGTCTCAGATTTTTCACCATCCAAAGACCTGAAAGCCTGAAAGCTTGTTTATTTATATGGAATCCTGAGGGGTTCGCACCCTGTTCTGTCACTGTCTGTCTGTGTCACACACACACACACACACACACATGCTATGCTCCTATCGTGCACTCTTATTTTGTCTTACCCAAACACACAGATGCACACACACACACACACACACACACACACACCTGTCTGCCTGAGTCAGATCTGTAGCGGTGAATAATAGAAGAGTGGGCTGAGGTCAGACTGTTCAAGTGCAGGGGAAACAGGGGAGAGGCTTTCATTTAAGCATGCCGGCCATTTTTAATAAGTCAGAGAACAAACTCATGTCTCCAAAAAATGTAGGCCAAAGCACAAAACGCTATGATATCACCGGGGACTGCCACTTGTTGACAATATTTGGTGGGTGATAAAAGCCGAAAGGAAAGTTACAGCAGCCAATAACTGGAAGGTCGGAAGTGCTTAATTCTGTTGTGTCCTCTCCTTGTACAGGAGGTAGAGCTTTCGTCTAGTTATCTGATTCAATCAGTGATTGAGATAAAGGCTAGATAATAGAGTAGGAAAGGACAAATTAATTCAGTAAATGGTTTGGTAACCACAAAATGGTTGCAAGCCTTAAGTGGTGCAATATAAAATGTGTAAAATATAACATGTAAAATATCAAATATCCCAAATCAAATGTGGGCAAACTGTGGTCCGATCCAACAGACAAGCTACTGTAGCTCAAACTGCTGAAAAAGTAACATAACATAAGTGCATAACATTATGACCACCAGGATGCCCAAGTGGTCGGAATGTTAAGGCAGATCTGTGTATGACCCAAATATTACAAAACAAATGTGTGCCACCTTTGGCAAAGACGTGGCACAGTCGACAAAGGCCAGTCTTTGTGCAAACCATAAGTACCTCACACATGCAGCACATGTGGTCTGCTTATCTTGCAACATATCTGGGACAAATATGGTAAAGTTATGGCACAGCAAGCACTAGTAATCAGTGTGTGAGCCTAAGGAGGCCCACATAAGACATGTTAAATATGGCCAAAATATTGGGTCACTTTAGCTAATGATGTGGCACAATTGGTACTAGCAAATCCAGACGTGACCGGAAGTGGCCCACATATGGTATAGCAAATGTGGCCAGCTTATCTTAAATCATATCTAGGCCACTTTTGGCAAATATATGGCACAGGGTAATCTGGGTTTGAGCCTAACATGGCCCAGATTTGACATGGTAAATATGGCCCAACTATTGTTGAACAGAATTGGGCCACTTTAGGTAAAGATGGCTAATTTGGATGTGAGCCTGAAATGGCCCATGTATGAAGCAGCAAATGTGACCACTTATCTTATTAATTTATTTATATATTTGGACACTTTTGGCAAATATACAGCACCGTCAGTACTGGCTAATCAGAGTGTTAGACCTAAATTACATAAAACAGATGTAGGCCTCTTCTGGCATAGATGCAGCACTTTTAAAACTAGCCAAACTGGATGTAAACTTGAAGAGGCCCACACTTGATATGGCAAATATGGCCCAAATAACATAAAAGAAAGCACTTCTGGCATCGATTCAGCACTTTTGATACTGGATAATCTGGCTTTAAGCCTTAGGGGGCCCACATATGCTATGACAAATATGGCCCAAATATTTTACAACAGTTTGCACAATGTTTGGCAAATATATGGTACAGTCTGGAACATGGTCGAAATATCCTTGAACTGGGCCACTTTTGGCAAGATTGCAGCCCATTTGGCACTCGCTAATCTGGGTGTGAGTCTAAAGAGGCTGATATGTGATGTCAATTATTGTGCCTTGGCCTACCCCTGATTTTTGTGTGCCATTTAGTGTGACGTCATTCTATTTGCTGACCTTTCCTCTGCAACCCCAACTGTGACTAAGTTCAGCATCCCTGCCGAACTCATGTGTCATTACAATAATAATTACATTCATGTTTACATTGGGCATGATATCACACTTCCTTTATATCATTTTTCTTTTTTGTTGGGCTTTATACGACTTTATTTTATAGAGACAGCTGAAGATAGACAGGAAAGGAGGGAGTGAGAGAGAGGGGATGACATGCAACAAAAGGTCAGAGGCTAAAACTAAACCCGGGCTACTGCGCTAAGGATTCAGCCTTCGTACATGGGGTATGCTCTCTACCTGCTAAAATACTGAATTATTGAATTTATTGCAACATCTTAATGTTTGTGGATATTGTTTTTCTACATGTAAGTTAATCTCTACAATTTGTGCAGCTCAGAAAGGTAGGATAACTTTAAACCCCCTGTATGTCATGTACTGTTAAGATTCACTGATTTGAAAAAATCATAATCTTGTTCTTGGCTGGCATGCTGTGGTCTACTTCTGGCAAACAGGAGTGGGCCGCCCAAGTGCCATCAATCCATGCAGATTTTGCTGCATTTAATGGAATATGTATTTATTGATTGATTTAGGTGGTTTTGGTCCTCTATATCTGTATGTCTGCACTGCTTTGTTAGATATTAATGACTGTAACCTTCTCCCGTGCAGCTATTCACTTCATGAAAATACATCATTAGTGTTGTCATATTGACTAATAATGGTATTGTACCATGGTATACCAATAGGTCATGTGTCTCTCTCTTGTTAACATTTTATTTGTGTGCTCATATGACAAAAGATTTTATTTACGTCATTATTTCTGTAAAGCAGGTAAAGACAGTTTTTGTGGCCAAAAACTGATGATTGCTGCCATTTAGTGGTGATTCTGTGTCATTACAGCCAACAACACAATCAAATTGGTTCAATCCATATGGTCTACTGCAGTCCAGTCCATACTCTATTGCATGGCATTCTTGCATACAGTAACAGGGCCGTACTTTTCTAATGCAGGATGAGGCTATTTGGTAGAGAGGCAAGGCTCTGAGAATATAGCTTGTGTTTAGGATTTCACCATGCCCTTATCCAGTGAGATTGTTATCTTTAATCCAAACTTTCAAAATAGCAATTTAATATAAGTTTCCTTACAGAAATTATGAAATGCTGAGTTCAGGTTTTCTTAGTGCTCTAGGCTGACCCCTGTTCTCCTACTTTCTTTGCATTGTGTATGTATTACTCAGTAATTAGCAAGTACTTTGAGGCAAATGTATTCATAGATATGCACCATGTAAACACAACCCTCTACAAAATGGGACCATGAGATTATGCACGGTAATGTAAATGTCATCTTTCTGATGCTTTTGTGGTGTAAACAAAATTTCAGTTAATCAAAATAACACAAACAAATTTTCATGTTGTAAACCTGCAGTCCTCCGCTTTTGCCTGGTTGTAAGCTAGTCTTAAGAACAGGACTAGAAACAGATTTTATACATCAGATTTATTTCAGTTATCATCATTACAGCACAGTAGTGTATAGCTGGCTGGAGAACATGGGGCATGTGACACATGAAACAACTCATTATTCATGGAGTGACATTGTGCATGTTGTTGCATGTATAATAACAATGTTACAGTTATACAAACATGGATATTCAAACCATACACGCTACTATAACCTGCTTATTGCTTTCACTCCTTTGCGCTCCTGTGCATGCACCTTATAATGACTGACAAGTTGCATATAGAACATTACAGTTTCCAGTAGTCATTACAGGCTGCAGACCATACTGTAGGGAGGTAAAAGTTTGATTCTACAATAGAAATATACAGTGCAAATGTTTTATTGAGCTTTATCAATAAATAATAGTCAAAGACAAACGGGAAAACAGGAATGAGCTGTTGGAGAATATTTGTGACTTTGTGTGTGTTCATCAAGGTGTGCTGAGGTACATCTGCAGAGCAGGGGTGAAGATTAAGACAGTTCCTAGTATTGACACTGTGAGGAAGGCCCACAGGAAAATCCTGTCCAACACCTGAGCCACAAACTTCCAGTCCTGTACCACCTAAAAGAGACAGAGAGGGGTAGACAGTCAGAGCCAGAGAGAGACAGAAACAAAAAAGAAAGGTCCACAGGTGAGAGTTTGTTCCAGCCTGAAGCACTTTTGTCACAGTGAAAACATACCTCAATCACAACACAAGAACTAGTTTTTTTAGTGTTTTTGTCGTCTACTAGAATTTTTTCGTATAAGACATTCAAAGTCTGCCACTCCCTCACCTCTCGTATGAAGTGCTCCTTTTTGATGTGACGGCTGATGTAGCGAACTGAATTTGTTGCTTTCTCCAGCATGGCCAGCCAGGCTTGGTGCTCGTCCTCCTTCCCTGCAAGGGGACCTCTCTGCTGGCCGCCACTGTGGCCAGGAACCCCCCTCCTCCCAGCACCTCTTCGGGGTTTCAGCTCCGGGCTGCGCATCTCCATATCTGGAAAGTGGTATCTGAGGATAATAGACACTTATTTTACACATATATCCTTCTTATATGTAGATATTAAAGGAATAGTTTGATATTTTGGGAAATACACATTTGCTTTCTTGCCAGGAGTTAAATGAGAAGACTGACAGCACTCCATGTCTGCTTGCTGAATATGAAGCTAGGAACAGGACTGTTAGCTTAGCCTAGGATGAAGACTGGAAACAGGGGGAAACAGAACAGAACCTACCAGCACCTCAAAATAATTTATAAATAACAAATTATATTTTGTTTGTTTAATCCATACAAGGGTTTATGTGCCAGACTAATTCTTGGCCAGGACCAGTAACTTCCTAGGGTCTCAGCTAATTGCCTGGTAAGCCTAGCTGTTTCCTCCCATCTCCTGTCTTTATGCTAAGCTAAACTAATCTTCTCCTCTAACTCTCAGAAAGAAAGTGAATAAGCATTCACCAAAATGTCGAACCATTCCTTCAACTACAACTGATCCTATATCACCTGTCTGTGTGCCCCCTCATACACAGCAGTCTGGGCAGTCTCTGAAGGAAGAGGGTCTTTACCCAGGGGGCCATTGGGTGGTAAGTAGCAGAGGAACGGTGGTGGACGTTAATGACAAAGACGGTGACGATGATGGAAAAAGTGACAAAGATCATGATGAAGAGCAGGTATTCTCCGATCAGTGGGATCACCTGGAGACAGAGAAATGTAATGGTTACTGAATCAGTTAGGTATTCATCATACTATAACATTCACACAATGACAACATGCTGCTTTTAACCAGGTAATATTTATTAATTTAGCATGTCAGCTTGCTAACATCCCAATTAGCACTAAACACAAAGTATAGCTGAGGCTAATGGGAACATTTTGTAGGTATTTGATCATAAACCAAAGTGTTGGGACATTTGGGTATTGACCTGCAGATGGCACTAGTTCAAAAGTTAAGATATCACTCAAGTGATTTGAAATTATTCTATGGAGAACTTGGAGATCTTTAGCAAAACACAGCAATCCATCCAATGGTTGTGAAGATATTTCAGTCATACACTATAAACAAAACTGTATACTTTATGGTGACACTAGAGGGGAAGTCAGCTCACCAAGTAATTTTACTGAATGAGTGAAAACTGATGGAAAAATTAGGAAAAGTCCGGACATCACCAAATCCATTAGAATTTATCCAATAGGGAACTTGAATATTTAGCTTTGTTACTGTCTATTGCATGTTGCATGTATTGCATGTAGTTCTTATGTTACAATATGAGAGAATTTGATTCTTCAATATAGAGTATAAAATAATATGGAGTGTAAGAGAATACGTGCACAGTATAGGGAAAAGTCAGGGATTTTGGGAACAGTCTTTTTGAGCTCTGCTTTTCTGTAGAGTTCTGTATTGGACTAAGACGTGTCTGAAGTTGATGGCTAGTTAATTGAGTTGACATGCAGTTTAAGCTTCAGGTAATTGAGAGGGCTGTGTCTATGATCTGTGTTAATTAGAACATGCTGCAATTAAGATTACAATTAGGATAACTGAACACAGGATAAAGCTGGATAGATTTTAAAAAAAGTACAGCCCAGCAGAAACTTCAAAATGAACACTGACGTAAACCCGTTAGAAAACCCACCTTTGAGGATGAAGGGATGATTTCTTCTATTACCAGGAGGAACACAGTGAGTGACACCAACACAGATGTGGAAAGTGACAGCTTCTCTCCTTCGTCTGATGGCAAATAAAACACCAGTACAGTCAGAAAGGAGAGGCCGAGGCATGGGATGATGAGGAAGAGGGTGTAAAACAAGGGCAATCTCTTGAGGATGAAGGAGTAGGTGACAAATGGGTACCAGTACACCTCATCCCTCCTGCTTCCCCTTACTCCTGTGGCATTGAGGATCTCCCACTCTCCATTATCAAAGAAGTCTTTACGGTCCACATAGTGATCCGTCAGGACCAGGTCCACCATGTTTCCATCGTAAGTCCAGGAGCCAAACTTCATGGAGCAGTTTTGCCGGTCGAAGGGGAAGAAAGTGACGTCCATGGTGCAGGAGGACTTGTAGCTGGCAGGTGGAGTCCATGTTATAGTACCATCCCAGCGCACAATGGCTTTGGTCATCAGGGAACCCTCAAAGCGACCGTCCGCACTGTGAGAACATTAGAAAGATAGGATGAGGTGGTGAGGGAAAAGTCATAAAGAGCAGTCAAGGTAAGATTTGAAATATGCACTGGGGTTATCAGGCACTGCCCCAGAATGTGCTACGTATGTGTGCATAACTCACTTTTCATACAGGACAATGTCAGGCAGCCATATTGTCTCTGAAGGCACTCTGATGGAGGTTATACCTCCATAGTCATCTGGGTTCCACTTCAGCTTCACATCAACCCACTCCTTTAAATAAATAAATAAGACACACATGATAAGTTACACAATCTGGTACATTTTACAACAGTTGTGAAAGACACTGGACTTATGAAAGTGCATCTTCTGCATTTCAGCACCATGGACAGCACTGAACTGATAACTGCACAAACCAAATGGAAACTACACTTTTCATTACACAGTTGTCCCAAGTTTGCAATCTAACCTTGGAGCTTTCTTAAATATAAGACCAAAATTTCACTTTTAGTAGATTGATAAATAATGAATCAACATGAATCATACTCTATTAGATTGTGTTAAAAAAAATATTTTAGCCTAACCACACCAGTAATGGAGAACTTTAAGAATTCACATATGTGAAAATAGCACCTCTGAGTTTTAAGATCCAGTATTTGTAAATAGAAGCGTTCCTTGTTACCTGCCAGAGCCAGACATTTGTAGTCATCAGTTGGTTCTTTTCATCCTGCAGGAAGACAAGGAAGACGTTTTGTTCGCTATTCATACATCTTAGTGGCGCTTACTGTGAACAATAAGAGAGGCTAATGAGGAGGTGAGGAGCAAACCAGAGGCTGGAGACAAAAAGTTGAATGGGATGAAAGAAAGTATTTAAACCTAGTTAGAAAGGGAGATTTTTTCCCCAAAGTGGGTTAATTGCTTTTCTTGCTAAGAAATGGAACAGTGGAACAGCTTGGGGGTTAAGTGCCTTGCTTCGGGGTACATCTATGGCATTTAATTTAAGAACGAGAAGCACAAGTTACTCTACTATATATACAAATACTAATATAAGTACTGCTGCCTCATTTGCTCAATAACAAGTATTGACCTATATTGTCAAAAAACAACAGAGAGAGTGTGAAGGAAATAAGAGGAGGACAAAGACAGCAATGAATTTGTGGAAGTCAGAGAGGTTTTCAATGTAAGCTTTCGAGTGTCTGTGGACAAATCTACGGAATAGATTTTGTGGTTTGTCTGCTTTCGAGAGGCAACCCTGATTGCATACCCGTTCTCTGAACAAAAATTGATCTGAGGAGGGGGGGATTTTTGAAATCACAGTAGTCTGGTAAGGATACCACAAGATGGCACTATTCTTAATGTTATTTCTGCATGGCAGAAGTATGGACATCAAATGCTGATGTAGTCAAAATGGGGCCCTTTGTAGAGTTGTGGGAGTGTGTGGATAGGTGTGTGTCCTTTTGTAAATAATAAATGTGATCTGGTTCCTCTCAGCCTGATGGCCTCATTACTTCCTCTGCTGCTATGAAGGACCACTTTGGACCTCTCTTTTAACCCTTCTTCCTCTCTCTTCTTTTAGGTCTCTTCTCCAGTCTTTGCCCCTTTAAATCCCTCAGCTCCTCACCTTCTGTCTTGTTTATTGTCACTCTTCTGTCCTCACCTGCGCTTCTGTAACATAGTTCCTCTGTTGACCTCCCTTCATAGCCACCCATTTCCATCTCTTACACTCCTAATCAGCCTTTCTCTGACTTGTATTTTTCTTCTCTCCCCTGATTACGTTTAATAATGTCTTCTTAACATGAAATAATAACCTTCTGTCCCGTCCTGAACAGATGATGAGCTACCTCTGACCAGGACAGAGACACTCGAGAGCTTTGCCTCTTTCTTCTTTCAAAATAATGACCCATCCTTCTACTCTATATTCTCATGCGTCATAGTAATACTGAGTTTCACTTCCTTCCATCTTTCCTCTTTTCTTTCCTGTCCTCTCTCGCTCCAAAACATAACCCTCCAATCCTCAAGAGACTTTAACATGATTTGATTATCCATGTTACATAAGGCAATTTTATTTCTGCAGGGAGTGTCCTTAACAGGTACGCACAGCTTAAGACTGTGTGCCGGGTCGGTCTCCTGGAAGCATTAGAGCCTCTATGTCTGGTTCCACTTTGCTCGAGGGCACTCAGGATGTGATCACTGCACAGACTGTTTAAAATACCCTCATCTATCTAATATTAATATAATACATAATGTATGGCAAGGACAGAGCCAGAGCTACCATTGAGGACACTGAGGTCATGTCCTCAGCATTTTATTTTATTTTTTGTCAATTTGTGGACTGGTTTCTGATTGGTCTTTTAAAGGCCTGTCTGATTTTATTGATTTTCTTTCTTCCGTTCTTCCTCTGTCAATATAACTATAAATGCAAAGTAAGCACACAAGCTGCATACAAATAAGATGCAGGCGTTCAAATCAAAATATGTTGAGTACTCCACAAAAATAACTTACATAATTATTTTGCTGATAATTCATGACAAAAGTAACCTGATCAATTTTCATTCACTTCCACTTTGTTATTCATTTGATATACATTTACTCCATTACCCATCCAACACAACAACAGTAACCACAACAGCATAGAGGGCCAATTCTCTGTAAATACTTGAAATAACTTGACATTTCTATACACAGATGTTTCGTGTGTGTTTGTGTATCCGGGGGGTTGCTTCCTCACCACATCAACCAGCTGTGAGATCTTGAGTCCAAAGCGTACAGTGATGGTGTCATTGGCATGCTGGACAGGCCGCACCCACTTCTGGTAACCCCTGAAAAGGTTCCTCAACAAGGAATCCTCTAACTCGGCCAGCGACACAAAGTCTTCCTGAGCTGGAAGGAGCCAGAGAAGAGAGTTGTGATGAGGAAAAAAGAGAGAGGAGGTTTGGGAGAGAAAATAGTACATGTTCATGAGAATATAGCTATGGGTGTAATTATACAGTATGTAGCATTGAAATTAGTCAGTTAACAAGAAAACTAATAGGCTTTGACAGCAATTCTGATAGTTCTGATAGTTGATTAATTGTTTAAGTCTCCTATAAAAAAAAATCGGTTTCAGTCATCTATAATGCTTCTCTTTTAATCAGCTGTCTACACAGGTTGCGTAACAGCTTTTGTTTTACTTTACACTTTACTGTGCCTGAATGCATCCTGTGTAAACAGAGGACTGGAACTTTTGCTGCTGATGGTAACTTCGGATTTCAATTTCACATGTTTTTGGCCTCCCCGGCTTTCCATACTGCTCTGCTAACATGCTGCTCTTGTTACTGTATGCAGCTGTGTAGACATGGTGTAATATACAACCACACCAGCAGCTCTGTAACACCGTGAGGATCACAATAACAGGCAGCCAGCTGGGGGCAGCACCTTTGAGTGGCTGGTACTGTAACATTTGCTAATTAGCACTAAACGCAAAGTACAGCTGACGAAAATGTCATTATTTATGAGTCTAAACTGAAATTTCTTCTGGATGATGCAAATGAAAGTTCAAATGAAAGTTCAGAATATCAACAAAGTTTCATGGTAATCCATCCAATAGTTGACACAAATGAAGACCTTATGGTGGCGCTAGAGGCAAAGTGAGGAGAGCACCAGCATCATTGTGATTAATCCTCTGGGAACCATGCTGCTAGCATGGCTATGTATGGACAAAACATGCAGTTTGAGGATGCTACCTTTGACTTTAGGCAACTGTGATGGGCATTTTTCTCAATTTTCAGACATTTTATATAGTAAATTATTTGATAAACAAATAAAAATAAAAATTCTTAAAATTAATCAGTAATGAAAAAAAAAAAATACTGCTAGTTAGCTAACATGAATGTAATCATGTGCACAGACAGATGTGCAAATAAATGTGACCCTCTTGCAAGACTTCCATAATCAAAAACATACAAAGACACAGTCGAGTCTCAAAAACAAGTGGAAGGAAAAGTTAAGTCAGGGCCTATGAGTCACACACTCACTCACACACACACACTGTCAACCCTGGACTGACAGCTGGTCATGGCCGAGCAAATGCATCTAAGCTCCCAAGGCTGACAAAATGATCATGCTGACATGATCACCTCAGACAGAACAATTGCCAGGGGAGACAAGATGAGCTCAGAGCGCTTTGTGCAGCCAGGCACAAGACATAATAGTCAGTTAAAGAGTGACGTTCACGCTGAGCAGGAGACAGGAACAGGGCTTTCACTTCACCAGCCACTGTTAAGTGCAGACAGCTGGGAGATATCAGTCTCTTCAGACAATTACAGAAAACACACTGTGATGTTATAGAGAAAAATATGCACAATGTGTAATTCAGTTTAGTTCAGTTGAAAACAATCAGTCAATGAATGTTGTATTCAGTAAAACAAATGGTAGACTCTTCAGTGGCTTAGAGTTTGCATTCTTGATTGTACTGACAGCCAGTGTGCTCATCAAGAGCTATACGCCCTGTTGAATTGTCCTTAAGCAAGACACTGAACCTCTTCCCTCTTACTCATTATAACTTCGTCTAAAAGATGCAGATGACAGCAACATTTGCTGAACGCTCAGAGCATTATGTGGTATTTGTACTTGAGCTGCAGTACAGAGCCTCCCTCAGTAACTCAGTGGCTCTATCAGCTCTGAGCATTTGACTGCATAAGCGGACGATATTTGGCACTGCCGATGGTAGTGCTGCAACAGAGGCAGAGGCTGATAGAGAAGAGAAAGTTGAATCAACAGCCTCTCAAACAAGGGGAATGGAACGGAGGAATGGAGAGAGCTGATAAGGGAAGGAGTGAGGCAGAGTGACCCAGAGCAATTCCTCTCAGTGTATGAGAGACAGAATGAGGGGGCAGGGTAGAGGTTGGTATAGAAGGAGAAGTTAACTGGGGCAAGGGGAATGGGAACAGTCAGCAAAACAGATAGCAAGGAGAAAGCAAATTCCCATTTCAACTTGATTCTTAGCACAAAGTTCTGTACTGTGCAGGCCAATCCCTCTTATCTGACATAGTACATACTGCATATTACTTAGTACAATATAGTCTGCCATTGTAGTTTACAATAGAGAGAGATAAGATTTGTTTTGGGGTTGATTAAAACCTTATTTCTCTTTTCTGCCTCTAAATTTGAATTCATTATCCTGAATAAGACCCTGTGGATGGTGAAATAAAATATGCAATAGCCAAATCATTCATCTCTCTCTGTGTGTGTTGCATTTCTTGTTTAAAGGGACAGTTTACCCCAAAAGCAAGAATACACATTTTTCCTCTTACCTGTAATATTATTTATCCATCTAGACTTGGTGTGAGTTGCTGAGTTTTGGAGATATCGATCATATACATCACTATGCACGACTATGTTGCCACTTGCCAGTCATTTGGTAGCCCCCTGCTACAAGTCTAGTCTTAGTTTGTTTGCTTGCCTGTCTACCTGCCAAAGTTACTTACATCGGTTTTCTTGAACCCAGAATCACCTGTCTGGCAGCTCTCCACACTGGTCAGCAGCCCTGGGCAAGCCACCCCAGTTTTCCCCACTGCAAGCTTTCACCCCCTGGATACCTACCCCATCTCAGCCCAAACATCAGCCAGCCACCAGTTCTCCGTTCCACCATTTTCTAAAGAATGAAAGACTTGTTTTTCACCACCTGCATGTCTTGAGTCTGCTTTTGGGTTCAGCCCTTGATGTTTTGTTTTACTACTCAGGAACTACAGTTTGTGGTTCTGTAGATAAATGCAGATCATTGAATGAGATTTAACAGTAACTTAATTTTGTCCATATCTCACTTTATTGTTATGTTCTTATCTGTTGATACAAGGTTCCTTTTTATTAAGTTTAACAGTATGGCTCAGTGTTTTTAATGGGTACTGAACAATGATGGAGATATGGCACATACAAGAAAGCTATATCAGATTTTGAATACACAAACAATAGGATCAATTCATTGTTGGATTGGGTTTTTATTCATAGTTTATGCAAAAATCAACACTGTCTACAGTTTTTCGTACTAGAAATTGCTAATGGGATCGGGGTCTTAGGTTTGTTGTTATGCATGCTATCATGGTAGAGGACTGGTAAATGAATAAAGCCAGTGGAATGTCCTCACCAGTACTGTATGGGAAGACAAGTCACATAGCCTAGCGTAGAGTGCTTTTCTCTGCCTGTGTGCATGTGAGGAAAAGAGAAAACTCAAGAGAGTGCTTTAGGATGTGTGTGCATGGACACAAATGTATCCTTATTTTAATATTTCCTGTATTCATTCTCCTTCTGTTTCCTGTTGGGTGTGTTGGTCAAAGTACGTAGCGTGTTCAGACTCAGAAAGATTACCTCCCATTGCATCAGAGCCCCTGTAAAGCACTCAGTTTGTAAAGGCTTGAAACGGGGCATCAGTGCACTCAGGCAGCTGAATCCTATCTACCATCTCTACAGGAAGCAACTCTGTCTCAAGATCCTCATCAACAACAACGCAGAAGCCAAACTCGTCAGACACGGCAGGGATGGATTCCTCTACAAGTGCCCGCTCTCTCCCTCAGATAGAGGCTGATTGACTGTGCGTGTATGCGAGTGTGTGTGGTTGATTGAGCAGAGGTGAAGGGGGGGGTATTGATTAGAATGCACAGGCTGATGGTGGGGGGGGAGGGGGTTGATTCTCTGTGGGGAAATTATGATGTATTACCATGGAGAAACACTCTGTGTGTGTGTGTGTGTGTGTGTGTGCGTAAGATAGGGAAAAAACTGTTTGCTGAAGATTGATACAGACACAGGGGTGACCCAGCATTCAAACAAACACCCTGCCTCCTCCTCAATCTAGAACACCCCATGGGTGACACAGTGGTATGATCACCTTGAAACTGTCACCATCTGTTCACTGTGGAACCACAGTGGGATGTACCACTGAGAGGGGTAAGAGGATGAGAGGGAAAACATGTTTTCTTTAGAAAACAGTGCAAATGAAAGACTGTTTAACTTTAAGTTTTTTTCCACACAGCTGTCACTGATGCTTCCAGGCCATTGGACAAGAATTAAGAGAGAAGGAAGCGAGCTTTACAATCTGAGTTACAGCGCTCCTCGTGTTTACCCACAATGCAACAGGACAGGTACCTCTGAGGTAGTCAAGACTTTTCACAATGACCCCATCTGTCATAATGCCCTTGAGGCCTGTGCTGTACTGTACTGAGCATGTAGGCCAACACATTTTGGTTCATACGTAATCATTGGATGTCAAAGATGCTGACCATCACATGACCAGAGCTGACCACATGTGTTCAATAATACAGTGCAGCCTGTTTATACATTAGAGCCTTATTGTGAGTGGTTTTCATTGGTACTAATTTCCACCAAAGGAGCAGTTCCAATGGAAACTGCTGACAGAGAGGTACGTACATTATCCAGAGTAATGGGGACATTATATCTGGATAGACATATTGTGCTTGAATCTTTAAGATTATCGTTTTGTTCTTTTTAATTTGGGTGAATCGTCTTTATTTTTCGTTTAAAATACAAACATGATCCTGCATACCAACCTGCTTCCACTGGGCGACATTAATTCAAGCTCCTTTGCAGAAAGCTCAGTGTCAATTTAAAATGTCATTCCTCAACTGTGGACGGACACTGGGACAGCTAATTGGACCACTGAAGGTGGTTTAATCATTTTAATCAATTTGTCATCACATCTCTCTCCTTCTCTCTTTTTCTCTTTCTCTTTCTCACTATCACACACACACACACACAAACATATGCAGCATAAATATACAGCAAGAAAGATTTACAGCATGTGATGCAGAGAGCTACTCCATCTCAAGATTAGAGTGGTGTAAATGCTCAACAGTAAGCTGAATCAACATACACTGACACACACACACAGTCTGTTTTCCCTTAGCT